AGACTCATATGCTGTAAAATGTAAACAAAAGTGTAACTCTCCTGGTGAAACTTCTCAGTGTGAAGTGGAAATTAGCAGATGGTGTAACAAAGGGGACACAGAAAAAACACAGACAGATCTAACTGAATATAACTTTATCAATTAACCACAGCAAAGGGAACCGGCAATTCCATTTGTATTTCCACTTATTAGCATAATCCTGTAGGGCTACAGAGTAAGTAAGTGCATGTGTAGTTGTGTGGAAGACTTCTAACCAGCCTTATGTATGGCAGAGAGACAATATCTGTGTCATCCAGGTTGTTCAGCATGCAACACAGAATAAACGATGATGCGTCATTGGAAGCAGGAAGTCTCATATCTCTGTAGAGGGGTGAGACTACAAACACTACTTCCTCATTTTTTTTTCACTCACGCTACAGACCTATTACAGATCAGTGGGTGGGACTTCACCTGCAGAAACTAAAAAATATAACCGCCATCTTGTTTGGAAGCGAAGCGGAGGCGCTGTCGAGCCAGACGTTACGACTATGGTAATCAATCTAATATGGAAGAAATTTTGAAAGTATGATGGTCGAATCAGATGTTCGTGGCTACCTTTATGAGCCGCAATATAGCGAAGAGCAGCTGAGGCTTCTGCAGCCGAGGCAGTGAACCTGTCGCGGACGAGGAGCCCGGACTGGCTCGAGCTGGCTTTCTGTAAATAAATGGTTCACATTCACGTTGTTGTAGTCCTTGATAGTGTTAGTGGGAGCGGCTTGCGGAGCTGTGCATTGTGGGAGTTGTTGTCTTTAATACAAATGCGCCCTAAAGTCACTTTCTCTCTTTTCTCGGTCAAATAGGCACCAAATTCAAAATGTATGTTACATTTCGACTACATATATAACCCACTTTCAATAAATATTAATGTTTCCACGGGTGAAATGCTCCTTTAATCACATTTATTTGACAGAATTGAGAAGTTTTCTCTCTGTCAAACACATGTTGATCCTGGAGCCTGTATTAATACAGTATAGTGCATTTACTGTAATATACAGTATACTGTATGCTGATATAGTGCTGGTTCAATAAGCACATTTTAATTTTCCATCTACAACATAATTATTGTAGTGACAAACAGTAACTTTGAAGAAAATGTGATTGAAATAAAAAAACATCTCATGTTTCTGTCAGTGGTGAACTGTCCACCCATTCCCATTCCCATCCTCATCCTGTCCGTTTTTCCTTTGTGCCCTGTAGTCCAATCCAGGAATCTCCATACGAACTCAGCTCAGTGACAAATTTCTATTATTTGAAAATCTGTTGCAACTTTTCAGTTCCTCCATGCTGCAAAAATCTGAAACACTGAAATTCAGCTCCTCTTGTCGACCAACCATTGTACACAAACAGCAGCTCAAACACACAAGTAACAGATGACTGGCAGTTAGTAGGATCACACACTCAGTAACAAACACTCTCAACTGTTCCTCTTCGTAGTTTATGATCACCAGATCTGTTCCTTTGTTCCTACAGTCAGATCTGCTGTAAGACCAGGTTTTCTTCTCATTGGATTTAAAGTAACAACTGCATCCATATTCCCTCCACCCTTTAGGACACGACATCCCTACATGTCAGAAGTGTTTCAAACTTATTTTATTCAGTGTCAAATTGATAAGATTTGTAGTTTCACTATTTAGTTTAAAATCTTTCTTTCCTGTCATCTTTCCTTTTTAGACTGTTTACTGTACTTGACTGTCATTTTTACTTTCTCAAACAGAAATATTTATATTCCACAACAGTTTAACAGTTACAATTAAAAGTAAAATTCAGTTATATCGTGTAAATTGGTACAATACTGGCATTAACTGATATTTTAAAAGAATTTCTCACCTTCAATTTTATCCTTCAGCTGCTTTACTTCATCCTGTAACTGCCTGTTGTTGACTTCCATGCATTGAGAAAAACAACAATAGATGGAGCAGTAAGACAATATCACAATGTTTATGCCATGTAGGCAGTGTGAAGTTGGATCCTGTATGTTTGTGGTATGTGTTTAAAACCTTTCTTACCTGACATTGTTCCCTGGAGTTGGCTGTAGTTGTTACTCAGTTGGTCGTATCTGGTCTGCAGTTGGGTTTTTTCCAAAAGCGACTGAAATATCTGATGAGAGGCATAAAAGATATAACTGCTCATTAGATGCTCAAAAGATTTTGAAAGAAGAAACAATAATTTCATTAACATACAAAAACTCAACTTTGTTTATTTCCCACTTTACACAGTTGGTCTGAAGTGATTTACAGTACAGAGAGAAAATGTCTTCAAAAGTGAGGAGACAAACACAAGGAAAGCATTAAATAATAATAATAATTAAATTGTAAATATTTGAACCTTTTTTGACATTATTATTATTTGTATTAGTACCAGTATTTTCTATATAAAATAAGAGCTATGTGTTTGTCAATTCCATATAGTTTTATGAGGAAATCAATTGAAAAGACTAAATTAAAAATATACTTTTTTTTACTTAGGAGGGGGAAATTAGTGAATCCTGAGCTGCAGATGTTACTGTATCGTCACACTATAAATATAGTCATATTGCTCACCTCTAGTTACAGTCAGATTACTTAGATTGCACCGACCCAATCTGAAGTCGATCCAGTTTAATCTGTAGTGAGGGTGTGTTCAAGTACAATGCGTGGAAATGACAAAAAATGACTGAAAAGATTCTAAATTCCTGTTGTGTTGAGGGTGTGGCTCCAAGAGACTGTTTCTGTACATCAACACATGATACATGTGCCTACTGGTTTGTATACAAAGAAGTGACAGTATACATGGCAGTCATTAAGACAGTGCTCACCTAACTCTATATGAATTGTGTTCACAAATTCTGGTAACATCCTTTTCTACACAGAGCGAAACCAGTCTGAACCTGTGTTGAGTAGCTTTAGTGTTCTTCACAAAAAGTTCCAAAATGACTGAAGACGTCATTAATCACAGGAAGAAAGTCACATGATGGTAAAATACATAGACATACACCTATTATGTCATCCAACAGAGAAAAGCTTCAAACACGACATGTAAAAAGCAGAGAGGGACTCAAGATATGACAGTTTGGATTAAAAAATTACTTCCTCACAGCGAATGTAGGTTCCAGCCAATATCAGAAGATACATCACTCCCAGAGTCACTGTAGTGACTTTGAAACACCTTCTTTTGACAGCTGCACGATTCTTTTGAGTTTGTGCTCCTAAAGAAGCAAAATACATAAAGAACATTTGATTATGCTGGTTTGAAGTTAGGAGTGGGCTGTTTGAACTGTGGAGTATTTGTTACTCATTGACACTCTCAATAAGAATCCTGTGGCACCAGATTACAGCACAAACACTCCTGATAATAACCTATAGTGAATTATCAATATCTAATTTTAACATAGTCATTTGGAAACTTACTGGCTGTTTGTGGCCCAAGATCAACGTGATACTCTTCATCCTCTGTGATCTCCATCTGATTCTCCTCTCCCTCTCCTCGGTTCTCTTGGACCTTTCTGGTACATCTCACATTCAAGCTCAAATCTGGTGCAGCAAGAATATCTACAGACATCTTGAAAAACTGAACTGAACCTATTCTTGAAGAGGCTTCACTGTCTGTGTGTCTGTCTTTGAGTTGGACAGCCTTTAACACTGGAAGTGACAGCAGGACAAGACCAGTCACACAGATACACAACTAAACACATTTTACTGTTAGAAGAAAAGCCCACCTAACTTAAACTTGACTCACAGTGAGATGGTTAATTCAGTGGTTCAGTCAATGGAATCATGAAACCCTTCAGATAAACAATATAAAAGTACATTTGAATTTGTTTGTTTTTGTCTTTATTTACTGACAGTGAGATTGAGGAAGTAAAAGGTTTTCAGCAGCAGAGATGTGAGCTGACATTCACACAGAATACAGTACACAGACATACTGTATCTCTGACACAGGAAACGTGCTGCGACCAGACAGTTATCTTTAGAATTAGCTCTGCTACCTGCACAACTAGTGACTTACAAAGAGCAGATAATTGATGTAAGTATGGAGGAGAGCAGAATAGAAATCCACAGTGAGTGACCATTGTTAATCGTGTCTCCAAAACGCATCCATAATCTTTACTCCTCCAAGTGGAACTATGTCAGTAAGTGTTCTGTGGACCCCTACAAGGTCTGTCCCTTATGATAATGGCTCAACTAACACTAGTCTTCCATGTTTAGTGGTTTAATGCATATGTGTGCATCATTAGCTAGTTAGCTTACATGTTCTTGTAGCTAAACTTCAATCAGATGAGACTTCATTTGAATGAATAAATATAATGGACAGTGCACAGTGAAGATGAGACTGTTAAATGTCTAATTAGACCCCATTGTGACGTCACTATATTTGAGGGGCTCGGTGAAGCCGTGATCAGTACAGGAAACCCACCGATTGAGGGTGGTGGTGATGAAGGAATGAAGAGAATGCTTATGATCTGGAAATGATGAACTGGAGGTGAAAGGGGTGGAGGAGGGTCTCAACCATTTCACACTGAAATAACAGCTGAAAGCAGCAGAGAGGAGATTTATAGTTTGACAGGAGCAACGTGATTGGCTGGAGGAGATTGTGGCTGAAACTGATTGGATTAACTGAATGAGTGAACACCCATAGCTGATTAGAAAGAGTGAGAGAATTGTGAAAGGATGAGGCATAATGAGAAGATCTGCATTGTGCATTATCACCACCCACTGGACTGGAGCAGTACTGCAACCGATTTGAATTTAGAAGGTGTTAGGACTGAGTGAACCACGAGGGACCCAAAAGAAACCACAGATGACACAGGATCTTGAAGTCTTAAAATCTTTACTAAATACAAATGAAGGTTTGGTACACAGGAGGTCCACGAAACACAAGTAACAAAACCAGATAAGGAGAGGCAGAGTCCAAAAACAATCTGTAATCCTAATCCATGTTAATAACCAACACAAAGGGGAAAAGCTGGAACATCAGACACAAAGGTACAAAGACAAACTGGCAGAGGGAGAATGAAACACAGGCAATATATAGTGAGGGAAAACTAACGAGACACAGGTGAACACAGTCAAGGCTGGCAAACAATCAAACTAGAGGGGAAAAGACAAAGACAGGAAGTAAAACAACACAGAACACAAGAGGAGGACAACTACAAAATAAAACAGGAAGTAACACATGACTGCAAAATAAAGACTAATGTTATGACAGAGATGACATAATGATTGCACTCAGATTTGTGACAGAGCTAACTGAGAGACACTTGCAATGAATGTAAATTAGGCCTCGGTAAAGATCAGGGAAATGTCTTTATCCTGGTGGAAACCTACAGTTATTGTTAGGGTGAGATACATGAACTGCAGTCCTTTGTGTGAAAGGAAGACAGTTTGACATTAAACAGGCTGAAGAGTCTTAACATGAACCTCCATGGATGTTTAACTCTCCTGGTGAAACTTCTCAGTGGGAAGTGATATTAGCAGCTGGTGTATCAAAGGGGACACAGGAAAAACTTGGCAGCAGTGGCATTATTGTCACGTAATAAACACAGACAGATCTAACTGAATACAACTTTATGAATTAACCAAAGTAAAAAGAAGCTGCAGTTCATTAATTGTAATAATCCTGTAGGGCTACAGAGTAAGTGTATGTGTAGTTGTGTAGATGACTTCCAACCAGCCTTATGTATAGCAGAGAAACAATATCTGTGTAATCCAGGTTATTCAGCATGCAACACAGAATAAACAACTGAACAAATGTAAAACGTAAATTAATCTGATTTGACAAAACTGCACACTCCTCTGTTGTTAAAGAAAGCAAGAAATCTATTTCTCACAGATCCAGTTTTTATACTCAGAAGAACTGCTTACTTTCCATTTTCCTTGTGTATCACAGAATGCTGCTGCGTACTGGTTCCATGAACTATATGGCATTCCCGATGCCCAGAACCTGGAGGACAAAGAAAATATTTTCCTTTTAAACACAGCAAGCTGTTGATTTTCACCTCAAATATTTTACATTATCTCTTATCAATAACAGTTTTTAATAACTTCCTAAACATGTATTTCAGCTTTGTTAATTAATATAATCTGTAAGAGCCGCCAATTCACTAATAAAACCTTGTTCAATAACCTTATTTCTCTTTTTTCAGTAATTTATTGGAGTTATTTTTATAGGAATCAGCCTCAAAGACAGGAGCTACAGGAACTTTAATCACATTTATTTGACAGAATTGAGAAGTTTTCTCTCTGTCAAACACATGTTGATCCTGGAGCCTGCATTAATACAGTATACTGCATATACTGTAATATACAGTATACTGTATGCTGATATTGTGCTGGTTCAATAAGCACATTTTCAGTTTTAAAACATACTTATTTTAGTGAAAATGTGATAGAAAAAAACATTAAAATGTCTCACGTTTGTGTCAGTGGTGAGCTGTCCACCCATTTCCATTCCCATACCGTTCCTGATCCTGTCCATTTTCCATTTGTTCCCTGTAGTCCAATCCAGGAATTTCCTATCGAATTCAGCTCAGTGACAAATTTCTATTATTTAACAACAGACAATAATCATTTCTCTGTTCATAATTCAGTATTTCTATTGTAATAAAGTCATTTTGTGTCTGAAGGAAAAAGAAAATCTGTCTGAACTTTTCAGTTCCTCCTTGCTGCAAAAATCACAAACACTGAAATTCAGTTCCTCTTGTCGACCAACCATTGTCACAATATACACAAACACACACGTACAAACACAGTGTATTATGGGCCAATAATTAATATAACATCATGACAAACTGTAGTTTTAGTTTTTAGTTTTCTGTTCATTTGACAATAAGCTACAATAGACACAGAGGGATCCACTCGTACACCAAACACTGAGGACTGGACTCAATAACAGTCAGATAATAAATACACATTTGTGATGGAGGAAAGTGAAGAAAGCAATTTATAATCAGAAGAGAAACAGAGAATGCAGAAGGAACTGCAGCTTTAGTGCTGATCAGAAAGTTTCATTATTATTTTATCAGAATGCTTTTTGAACGTGTTTTTACAAAAATGTAAAATTCTGTTTACTAATATTCAAATATTTACATTTCATTTCTTGTTGTTCCATAAACTCTATATCCCTTAGGATTGCAGAAGTTGTTCAATGTAAAGTTTGTTCAGTTTCTCCTCTATCTGCCATCGGGTTCAGTTACTAAAATGTGGCTAGATGGAAGAGCTGAGATCAGATCTGGTTATGATCATTTATGAACATTCTTCCATGATTCAAATCTTCAATTTCCATCCAAAGATTACAAACAGTCCCTTTGCTTTTCTCTTGGAAAATAACATTTGGAAATATCTAAACCTACAACCAAACAAGCCTTAAAATACTCACAGTGTGAAACATGAGAACAATATTTACAGCCTTAAAAGAACCGTAGGTCAGAGCTCATTGAGAAAAGCAACAGGGAAGTGGTCAACAAATGTCTACACAGTACACAGAGTGACTGCAGGTTGAATTAGAGGCACTGTATGAGAATCAATTGTCAATGAACACTCTTACAAATCGGGACCTGAAGGCCGACCAATCGGGCAAATAAATCTGACAGCAGCTCAAACACACAAGTAACAGATGACTGGCAGTTAGTAGGATCACACACTCAGTAACAAACACTCTCACCTGTTCCTCTTCGTTGTTTATGATCACCAGATCTGCTCCTTTGTTCTGACAGTCAGATCTGCTGTAAGACCAGGTTTTCCTCTCATTGGATTTAAAGTAACAACTGCATCCAAATCTCATCCATCCTTCAGGACACCACTTCCCTTAATGTCAGAAGTGTTTCAAACATAGATTTCATGTCATTCAGTGTCACATTGATAAGATTTGTAGTTTCACTATTTAGTTTAAGATCTTACTTTCTTGTCACCTTTCCCTTTCAGACTGTTTACTGTCCTGTTTTGTATCTCCATTGTTAGTGTCTCAAAGAGAAATATTTATATTCCACAACAGTTTAACAGCTATAATTAAAAGTAAAATTCAGTTATATTATGTAAATTGGTACAATACTGGCATTAACAGATATTTTAAAAGAATTTCTCACCTTCAATTTTAGCCTTCAGCTGCTTCACTTCATCCTGTAACTTCCTGTTGTTGACTTTAATACCTTGAGAAAAACAACAATAGATGGAGCAGTAAGACAATATGACAATGTTTGTACTTGATAGGCGGTGTGAAGTTGGATCCTGTATATTTGGTATTTGCTTCTCTTTGGATTTAAAGTAACAGCTGCATCCAAATCTCTTTCATCCTTCAGGACACTTCCCTTAATGTCAGAAGTGTTTCAAACATAGATTTCATGTCATTCAGTGTCAAATTGGTAAAACTTGAAGTCACACTCTTTAATTTAAGATCTTTAATGCCAGCATCATTTTATTTTCAGGCTGTTAACTCTGTAAATACTTTTCACTCAGGTTTTGTATCTCTGTTACTGTCTCTAACAGAAATATTCAAACAGCAAAACAGTTCAACAGCCGGTGTTAACTGAAACTTTTTATAACGCACTTTAAGTTTTATCCTTCAGCTGCTTCACTTCATCCTGTAACTGGCTGTGATTTTTACTCAGTGCATCGTAACTGCTCTGTAACTGACTGTTGTTGACTTCCATGACTCGAGAAAAACAACAATAGAATCAGTAAGACAATATGACAATATTTATACGAAGTAAGCGTTGTGAAGTTGGATCCCGTATATTTTATTGCTTTCTTGTTGCTATCAGCTGTTGTTTTTATTGTTTTTAAAGTTTTCTTACCTGACATTGTTCCATGAAGCTGACTGTTGTTGTTGCTCAGTTTGTTCAATCTGGTCTGCAGCTCAAATGTTACTGAAGTATCTGTGGAGAAGAACAAAATAAGAAACAGACACAAAAACAACACCAAATCATTCTGCTTTAAATTAAATATAAAATCAAGTTATACTCCCTGTGCATAATTAAAGGCGTACTGAGTAGGATCTTTCCCAACTGTTTGTAAATTCACCATTCAGTGTTAGCCCCTTCTCCCCGGCTCACAAGCTTATCTACAAGCCACACACACACCTACTAACTCTGGTCTATATCTCACACACACACACACACACACACACACACACACACACACACACACACACTTGCTCTGCCTCTCTCTTTTTCTCTCACCCTGTGTGTCTCTGTTGACTTTCTTCAGCAGTAACTTTTATGAAGTCACCCAAAAAGCACAACTAGTTTTTTCACCCTTGATTCAGTTTTAACAACAGCAGGTGGGCAACGTGTGAAGGAGTCTCTTTGTAAATGACGGAGGCTATCATAACAATCTAAAACATTGTGGTACCGAATGACATCTGTGTCTGCACCAGGAAACATCTCTCTCTGTTTCTCTTCAGAGCAGACTGTCACTAGACTGTACAGGAGAGGCAGAGCGAGGGGAGATTGTCCACTAGTTAACTGAATCGCAGATTCTTGTAATGTGAAGCAACAGTGCACAACACAATGTTAGACAGAAGTGTAACAATATTTTTGGCTCCTTATAAATCTATGGCGAGGGAAATTAGACAAAGAGTATTACATGTTATTAATAAGAAATAATGTAAGAAATGTTATCAATTTTGGTTCACAGACATACAGTTGGCCTTTTTGCATCCATTTTGAAGAATCATACATCGTGTACTGGTTCAGTATTTGGTGCTCAGTAGGTGTGGGGTGTTGTATCTTATCTTACGATGTATGGATAAGATGATGATTCCAGTTAGCATCAGAAAGCACAGCACTCCCAGACACAGTGTAGCAGCCCTGAAAGGTCTTCTTTGGACGGATGGACGATGCTTCTCAGTGTGCGGTCCTAAGGTAGAAAACACACAGAGAGCAGGTTCATTAAAGGCAAACAACATGGGTCCAATCATCATACTTTTAACACTTTACTCCTGACATCTGTACACAACTGTAAATGGAGTCTTAGCATTATAAATCATTCAAAATATTCAGACAGATTTTAATCAACTCATTTAAACACTGTTATATTAACCAATTATTGTTTGCTGTGAAACGTGTGTGTTATATTGACTTTGCATCACCTCTTCAGTCTCTCTCTCTACCATGGCTCTGTACTAATAATGATATTCAACAGACGTTGTCATGCTGCCCTGCACTCCTTCCTGTCCTGTGGTTGCTCTCTGTTATTTTTGCCACTCTGTCTTCACCAGAGTTGATGCTTCCCCACTTCTCAGAAATGATACTTGTCTGTTAAATGTTACCGTACCCAATAAGAACGATGCCCAAAGCAGTAACATATTAGATTCAGGTTGTGTTTTAAAAACCTTGTAGCAATTTAAACTCTGGTGCCGACAAATAACATCAATTCAATGTATCTATATTTCTATAGCACCAAATCATAACAGAAGTTATCTGAGGACAGCAGGTCAAAACCATACTCATTATTATTTACAGAGACCCAACAATTCCCACCATGAGCATGCACTTAACGACAGTGGCAAGAGGCAGAAACCTCGAGCAGACCCCGGCTGTAGGCGGGTGACCATCTCCCAACACTTGAAAATGAGTCCTCTACCCAGAAAGCTCTGGTACATTTTATTAGTAGAACATTAAACATAAGGACTCATACCATACACAAACATAGACGCTGATGGGATTGGAAAGCTGGACTAACAAACTGAACTGAAAGTAAACTTAGAGTTTACACATTAGAAGCATACATTAATTTATAATATTGATTTGTTATAATTTGTCACTTACCTCCTTCACGTGACTGAAAATCAGTCTGATCATCTCTGATAGCATCTGCACTCTCGTAGATAACCACCTCCCTTTCCTCCCACTCTACGTTGTCTTCCTTCACCTTTCTGTTGTATCTCACCTTCTTTGACAAATCTGGTTTGGCATAAATATCTGAGGACATCTTGAGAGGACTGGAACAACTGAACAGTAGCTGCTAACTGAGCCATTCACATTTATTCACACCTTGTTGACACACAAACATACACACACACACACACACAGAGGAAGCAGAAGACAGGAAATGTTATTTTCACAGGTATATTATAAATACCTCATAGAGAAACTGAACAGCTTTCAAACAATGTATTCATGTTTGATGATTTTGAAGATTTCACAGTTGTTCAGCAACAAAACAAGAATTATTGGATATAATTTTAATTAAAGCTGCAAGCAGCGTTGGGCGGGACCTCGCACTCCATGCAACTCGGGGCGGGCTCCGGCCGCGTCGCGTGCCATCGTAACACGTGGGGACCACAACACGAAAATGTCACGTAAATCAGCTCAAAATCGCCACACAGTGCTTACCTCCTGTTGCCAGAAGGTGGCGCTATCACTATGTGAATGTTGTCATGTAGACATGTTCAAGGCGAGACTGTTATCAAACACGTGAAGTTTCATTGAGATTGGACCACGTACGCTGAAGTTATGAGGACGTGTTTACGTCAAAACTATTTCAGAACATTTTAAGTTTATTGGAGATTGGACATTGCACACTGAAGTTATGAGTACTATTTTATGGCGAATCTGCTGAAATGGACAAGTTGTCACTGGCACGTGCTTTAATGTACAGTCACAAATAGCTCAACTTTTCAATCAGTTTGTATGACCACAGAATTCAAAATGGCCAACTTTGACGGCATGCCACAGACACGCCTCTAAACGTACAGTCTCAAATAGCACAACTTTTAATCAACACCATTTTTTGACTGTACTGACCAATTTTTAAGTACTTCCAATAAATTCCCTAGGAGGAGTTTGTTTGAGTTTGAGTTTTGTTCAAATGCAAGGCGAAAAATTGCAGAAAATGGCTGCAAAATTCAACATGGCCAACTTTGAAGGCACGCCAGGGACACGCCCTTCAATGTACAGTCACAAATAGCACAACTTTTAATCAACAACATATGTTGACTGTACTGACTAATTTTGAAGCAGATCTGATAAATTCTCTAGGAGGAGTTCGTTCAAATACAACGCAAAAAAAACGCTGAAAATCACTGCATAAAGCCGGAAATGGAATCATAGTCTGACATTTTATTCAACCTGGCCAACTTTGACGGTACGTTACAGACACGCCTTTCAACGTACAAATAGCACACTTTTAATCAGCACCAATTTTTAACTGTACTGGCCAATTTTGAAGTAGGTCCGATAAATTCCCTAGGAGGAGTTCGTTCAAATACAACGCGAAAAATCACAGAAAATGCACGCGGAATTCACTATGGCCAACTTTGAGGGCACGCCCCGGACACGCCCTCTAATGTACATGCACAAATAGCACAACTTTTAATCAGCACCATTTTTTGACTGTACTGACCAATTTTGAAGCAGATCCGATAAATTACCTAGGAGGAATTCGTTCACATACAATGCGAAAAGTTTGCCGAAAGTGAAAATTTAAATCAAAATGGCTGACTTCCTGTGGCGTTTCGGGTATGGGTCCAAGAGGCTTTTTTGTACGTCCCGGCATGTTACACGTGCCTAACGAGTTTCGTACATTTCGGTGAAACGTGGCGCCGGGGCTGCTGTTTTTTAATCCTGTAGGGGGCGCTATACACACGACGAACACGATTTTTGGTATGTGAGCTTCAGGCACTACTCTACACGTGCCCTGTGAATTTCATATTCATAACTATTACGGTCTCCGCACAGTGATTTATCATGCCACCAGAGCACCACCTAGTGGCGGATTGTTGACACATTTTTTAGCGAGCCTCAGGGAGCCATGGGGAAGCATCGTACCAAGTTTCATTTCAATCACACGTGCCGTTATGGAGATATAAACTTCTTCACTTTAAAAAGAGCGCCACCTAGAGGCGATCGTCTGAAATTTTGCACGATGCCTAAGAAAGACATGGGGAACTATGGACCCAAGTTTGGTGTCAATCGAACATAGCAATGTGGAGAAATGATCCACTTCCTTTTTTGATGAAAAATCTGCAGGAAGTTGGAATTTTATAGCGTTCTTATTTTTTGAAATTTCAAAAATGTTCAAATTACTCTTTTTGCCAGGGCGGTCCGCAGGTGCTAGGTAAAATATTTTGTGCGAATCGGACAAAGCGTGTAGGAGTAACACGAAAAAGTAGTTTAAGGACATTTCGCACTCTAACGAAAAAAAATTATAGGCGGAAGTGGGCGGGGCCTATATGAGGAGATTCAGCTCCATTCACCGAACGCGTGGATACAAGGTTTATGAATGTGCGACAAACTATGCAGAAGTTATTAGCCTAAACGCACTTTTTATGATAGTAGTGCCACCTAGTGGCAGACCCGGAAGCGACGCATAGAATATCCCCATTTTCACAAGGCCTGACCACTTTGCCAAATAAAATTGACTTTTCGTATATGTTCAGGGGGGCAAAAATGCAGTCGAAGGGGGCTAAAAATAATAATAAGAAGAAGAAGAATAGGTAAGAAATCGAGCAACAACAATTATTATAAAAACATTATATAATTATAAAACATTAAAGCATTTCTCACATATGTGATGGTGTGGATCTGTCCACTGATTTCCATTCCCATTGCTCCGGCCAATCCTTTATTTTCACTGACTGTTCAGTCAGATTCAGACAAATTCCTGAAGAGTGAAAAAGAGAAGATAATTATTTCTATGGTAGTTAATCTATGTTTCATGTCTTAACCGTCTCTGAGGGTAAAAAAAACATCCTCCATGGTGAAGTAGAAGAAATATATGTATTTAGTAGTTTTTTAGTATATGAAAAGTGTAAAATATATGTACGTATGTCAGGCAAACTCTACAATAAAATCTTAAATATGGGCTTGAGTGCAAATCTTCTCATAAGTGATATTAAAATTTCATCAATATTACTACTACCATGTAAGTTATATATATTAACACTAATATTTAGTAATAATTCAACAGCAATTTAATTTTAGTCAACATTCATTTGAGCTTATGAAAAATGATATGTGATCTGTGGTTTGTCAAGTACGCTAGGGCAACGTCAGCAGAATTTAGATTTTCCACTGATAATGACATTAAGTTGTTACTGTTGCTGCTGTAGTTTGACAGAAAAGAAATAAGAAACTATTTGAGCCTGAGTTGTGTGGCACAGTAACTGTTTTCAGTTCAACAGGATCAAATGATGGAATACAAACGCCACGTAATGAAAAAGTAGCTGTTAGGCTTTTCCAGCCACAACTTGAGTTTATCTTGCAAAGATAAGAACATGACATTTAATGTTAGAAGTGAGAACACAATCCTAACTAACTACAGGAAACAACCCCAAAACACAACTTTGACACTCAACATTGCTTCTTCAGCTGAGAACACGTTTGATCATTCAGCAATCATTTTACACCAATAAAAGATGACATGAGGCGAAAGTTCATAAATATAAATCAAACCACAGCTGTAAAACACTGCTGAGGTTTTTGATTTAAAAGTTTCACATACAAAGTATATTATTTCATAAAACACACTTACTGTCTCTGAGTTTTTACCAGAGCTATCGGGTCACTGTACACATTTGTCTCTCAGTTTTGATGTTTACTGCTTTGTGCTTGATATTGTGTAAAGTCAAGCCATTTGATATTACGTGCAGTTTTTTAAAATATGTCTACAGTTAAATCCTGAATACGAGCTGAAGTGCATTATTCTCATAACTGATTTCATCAATATTACTACTACCATGTAAGTTATAGCTGATCCCCGAATTTGAATACACACCTTTTTATATCAACAGAAATATTTAGTAATAATTCAACAGTATTCAGTACGTACGTACCTCCAGCTCGTGTCGAAAGGCCAACATGATGGTCTGTGGAAGTGTCTGCACTCTGGTTGATGAAGACCACTCTTTCCACTCTCTGTCCTCCGTCCTCTCCGTTTTCATTGCTGTATCTCACATTTATAGTCAAATTTGGGTCTTTGTGAATGTTCAAAGACATTTCAAGACAGAATACAACCTTAAAAGTCTGTGCAGCTTTTCAGTAGTCTCGATTGACTATTTATTGCTCCCCACTGCTGTCACTGTATCTGTACTCCTCTAACAGCAGGTGCTCTGCTACATAGATTGTTGATAGTGAAGTTTGTGTTGCTAAATCCTGAATATAACGTTGTAATCTGTTCTGATGCTGCTGTCTGTGTTTTCTGCCAAGGTTTCTATGTCTCTCTGTTTCTGTGTGTGCTGGCCAGGTTTCATCACACAGGAAGTAGTAGCAGGAAAACACACTGCCATATATTCAACTACTAAATAGCAAAAACCTCTGAATTAATAGGGCAATTTCATTTTAGTCAATATTCATTTGAGCTTATGAAACCCTTCTTTTTCCTTCTCGTTTATTATTTATTCATAATTTGCACTCAAAAAATGCCAATTTAGATGTATGAGAGCTGATTAACTTTTTTTCATTCACCAGCGGTGTGATATGTGATCTGTGGTTTGTCAAGTACGCTAGGGCAACGTCAGCAGAATTTAGATTTTCCACTGATAATGACATTAAGTTGTCACTGTTGCTGCTGTAGTTTGACAGAAAAGAAAAAGAAATAAACTATTTGAGCCCGAGCTGTGTGGCACAGTAACTTCTTTCAGTTCAACAGGATCAAATGTTGGAATACAAACACCACATAATGGATCAAACACTGAACAATGGTTTCAACATTTCCAGCTTTATTTCTTTCTCTTCATTTTAATCTGAATCACATTACACATGGAACAACATGGCATCTTGAAGCACATTTACTGTGACTAAAATGTTTGCTGTGAATGTGACATATTATCACTTCTGTTATTTCCTCATTGCCATCATCTCACACTATCAGATGTTACTCCCTCAGTGAAAGGGAGTCTCAAAAATATCAGATCAGAAAACAGAATCAGAAGTGGATATCAAAGGTGCGCATGATGAAGATTTACAATCTGGAAAGAAACTTTATTTGCTGTTTCAAAGTCTCATTTAATGCAACAAGTAAACTCTCCATGATCAGAGACTGATTTTACAGGCAAATAGCATTTTATTAGCACAATTAACATGCAACAATGTCCTTAGTATAATTCAAACTAATTACATCACAGTTACATGTGTGACACAGTGTAGACTCACAGAGACTCTCAATATATCGGTTTCTCACAGATCCATTGTTGGGATCCACTGTTGATGTGGTTGAATGCTCCTTTCAGATTAATGTATCCTGTGGACCCGCTCACAGCCTTACTATTCACTTCTACTTTCCAGGTCCTGTAGAACAAGCACTGTGTTGTTATGGGTGAGCCACAATACACAAGGATTAATAGTATAAGATTATGCATTAAAGTTTCTCACAGATATGATGGTATTGATCCGTCCACCCATTTCCAATCCCATGTCTCCGGCCAATCCTTTATTTTCACTGACTGCAGACCGATCCAGGAATCTGCCTGTTCAGTCAGCTTCGTGACAAATTCCTGACAATTTAGTAAAAGAGTGGAGAATTATTTCTCTATTCATACACCGATATTTCTATGGTATAAATATGTTTGTTGTTTTGTGTTTGCATGTGTGTAACAGTATAAAGTAGCACAGAATTAAAACACTTAAATATGGCGGGTTCCTCTGCCCCAAAAAATTTACAAAAGCACTAAATACAAAAATCACACTGGCACACACATATAGCACGTCCATGTCCAAAAACATCATGACAACATGACAGATAAACACAACAAGCTCCCACACAAAAACACGGACCTACATTAAAGCCCAAACACGAGAACAGACCACACTCACATGTTCCTCTTTGCCGTTTATTATCACCAGATCTGCTCCTCTGGTCTGACAGTCTTTCCTGCCATCTGTCCAGCTTTTCATCTCAGTAGATTTGTAGTAACAACTGCATCGGAATCTCTTCCATCCTTAAAGAAACAACTCATTATCAATGACGTGTTTTAGTGAAAGTTTTCTGAAAGTATACTGTTTCTTTTTAAATTGTTCTCACTTGTAATGTTCCCCTGTGTCTGGCTTTGGTTTCCCTCTGAATGGCAGAGACTGTTGTCGTAACTGGTCTGCAGCTGCTTATAACTGGTCTGCAGCTCCTTATAACTGGTCTGCAGCTCCACATAGCTTTTGTTGATCATGTATTTATCCAAAATAACGGAAATATCTGTTGAAAACCACAACAAAAAGAGACAGGGCAGTGATGTCGCATTAAAACAACTGATCAAGGTTTTGAGTGGCTCAATAAATGACATTAAAATAACAAGGTTCTCACAGAATTTGGATAAGACAGTGACTCCAACAACAAGCAGGAGACACAGGAGACCCAGAATCAGTGCAGCAGCTCTAAAAGGGTTTCTTTGGACGGCTGCAAGATGCTTTTGAGTGTGAGCTCCTACAGAGGCATAGTACACAGACACACATACTGATTAAGCATGTTTAAAGTAGCTGTTGAGTTTCACCTTTAGGTCGGATTATCTGACCAGATGAAAACAGGGACATTTGATTTAAATAATGATTAGAATAAGAGTAAAAAACTAAGAATCAGAAGAAATAAAGAGGATAAAGATTCAACAATAAATTATAATAATTGTATTACTATTACTACTATCGTGTACAAATGTACATGATGCATTAATGTTAGAGCTGAGCACCTCATTTGAATACACACCCACATACACACATTACGTTTTTATTTTTATATTAACAGTGCCATTTAGTATTAACTCAACAGTATTTAGTTAACCCACGTACCTCCAGCTTGTGTCGGTAGATCAACACGATGGTGTCTGGAAGTATCTGCACTCTCGTAGATGTCAACCACTCTTTCCTCTCTCTGTCCTCTGTCGTCTCTGAGTACCTTGCTGTATTTCACATTCATTGTTAAATTTGGGTCTTCATAAATGTTGAAAGACATTTTAAGGTGGGAGACAACTAAAAAGTATTTTCAGCTAGTCAATAGTCTCAGTTAACTGTTTACTGCACCCCACTGCTGTCACTCCGTTGCTGTATTCGTCTAACAGCAGGTGCTCTGCTACATAGATTGTTGATACAGAAATTTGTATTTCAAAATCCTCAATGTAACTTTTTACTCTATTCTGATGCTGCTGTTTCTGCGTGTGCTGGCCAGGTTTTATCAGACAGGAAGAAGTAGCAGGAAATCACAGATGCACACTGCCCCATTTCCATCGCTGTACGGCAAAAAAGCCCCTTTTTCAATCTTAATTTGAGCTCATGAAACCGTTCTGTTGTCTTTTAGTTTAGTCAACAGCGGTGTGATATGTGATCTGTGGTTTGTCAAGTATAATGGAGCACTTAAATGTGTTTGCAGAATTCAGATTTACTGAATACAATTGACTGACAATCACGTTAAAATGTCACTGTTGCTGCTGTTGTTAGTTTAGGAAAATGGCAAGTTTTTCAAATAGTGATCTGAAACACATTAGACATGGTACAAGCTGACATCCTGAAGCTTACTGTGACTAAAATGTTTGCTATAGATGTGACATTCTGTTATCATACCATAATTTCCTTATTGCCATCATGTCACGCTATCGGTTGCCTCCCCCCTCGATGAGATGGAGATCATTTCCTTCCTCTGTAAAGTTGCAACATTCAAAAAGATATCATAGAGAACGGCACTCCTCTATTCTTGGGTTGTAGTCAGAAACGTTATTGAAGTTATGTCAATAACCAATCTCAGTGGGATGTCACAACTTTGATAATAATTTATTAATTTAGTGTTAGTAGGTCTAACTCAGGGTCTGAATTGGGTTTATGCACTGCTAGATAGTCTTTACAAGAATATGAATAATAAACAATAAACTTTATTTGTATAGTACCTTTCTTAATAAAGTGCTTCACAAAAAGAAATAAAACAAGACAAGGCAGATATAATGAGAACGGTATGGTTGCAAGTTTTCACAGTAATAACAGTAAGACATTTATAGTCACTGTGGACCGAACGATCTGAACACATTCGAAATGTGATATTTAGTATCTGAAGAATGTCTGTGTGGAGTTTGGTAGCATTTGAATTAAGAGGTGGAGATATAGATGTTACTTGATTTTGCATATTTAGAAAAATATAGTGACAGGCTTTTGAATAGACCACAGGTTGCAGTGCAGCAAACTTTTGTCACAGTTCAGTTGATGTGCTGTTATTAGTACTGTACACACAACATTTTCTGTTTCGCAAAATGTTTAATCAAACATCACCAAAGTATTTGATAATACATCCGACACCAGCAGAATGATGTGTGATTTTCTTCAAAACAATAGCGTCACCATGTGGTCGGTTATTAAGCCTTTTTTACATTTCTAATAACTCATGAACCCTTGGGAGTAGAAGATAGATGGATAGATACTTTATTTATCCCGAGGCAAATTCAAAAATAACAGAAGAAACATTTATGTACAGTGAATTGGATGATGCCAATATAGGTCACATCTTTAAAATATTCCCCCATTATGGATTAAAGACATTCTATGCTTCTTTTTTTGTATAGTACACATATTTCATCTAATCTTTACCAAAAATTGTGCATAACATATTTAGATGAAGCTGAACAAGATATTGCAGGTGTATTTAACATTTTATATAATTCTACCGACAACAGCTCCACAATAATATTACGTTACAGAGCACAGGGTAGATACAGGACAGAGATCAGTGCTGTATACAGGTCAGAAGTCGTACTGTTCAAATAATAGTAATTATAATCATATTATTGTTATATAGGTCAGTGCTGTAGGTACACGGCATAGGTCAATGCTGTAGATGCAGCTCAGAGGTCTTTACTGTCTTTTTGATTCATATAATAGTAACAATAATTATATTATTAATATCAATTGTATTTTTTGTCCAATAATTTTACACTAATCGTGTCATTGCTGCAAGCAAACACATTTTCATATTATTACCTTTTTTCTTCCGTAGTAGCCAGTGTCTTCACATCCAGCTATAAAAGATAATTGCCAACATGACAGCCTGTTAACAATTTCTCTCTCTCTCTTTCGCTCTTTCTCTCTCCAGGGGCCAACTGGTCCAGTAGGTGATACAGGTGTACCAGGACCTCAGGGACCCCAAGGACCACAGGGACCCAGTGGACGCTCTATCATAGGACCCACAGTATGACAAACATACACACAAACAGAACGATTCTACTCAGTCTCACATCAATGGCTGATGGCAATCAATTGGCAATTCTGATAGTACTCCCAAAGAAAGTGTTCACAGTATTTTTTTCTTGAAGAATGTATAGAATATGGTATCTACTATCACAATGTTTTCATATTCACATGCAATTCATATTGTTAGTTTATGAAAAGCAACATATAATTTACACCAGTGCAACTATATTATTCAGTATATTCAACATCGTATTAACGATATACATAGGAACAGTACAAGAGGTATAATTTTCATCTGCAGGGCCCTCCAGGAGAGAGAGGACAGAAAGGTGATGCTGGACAGCAAGGAACACAGGTAAGTTTCTGTTCATTTCTGTCAAAATACTGCAGAATTAGGTCTATACGGTCAACCTACATTTTATCTGGTCCTTGATTATAAATCTACTAATTATGAATGTTTTATCAAATTAGGCTCGTGTTAATAAGACAGCGACCATCTACAGTCAAACAGCTACCAAACTTGATTATTATGATTGGTTTTCATTCTGCTAATTATATAATGCAGAACCTTGTTTGGGATGTTGATGAGCTTTGAAATGCTTGGTAGAATTGTTTTTTTTAGTGTTTTTGTCAGAGACACAAATTAATTAACATTGTTAGTGACAGAACATTGGGCGGTGTGCTGTTTCAGAAAGGTCTGTTGCTTGAAAAGAGCCTCCCACAAATAATTACTGCACTACTGTAAATTACTGGGACTAATGTGACCTTTTGGAAGCAAATACTTGTCATGGTTTGAATAATGGTGCCATTTGCAAAAGGTTGATTTCTGTGGTTCAAGTCTATTTCTATTCCCTGAGTTTGTAACACTATAGCAAGATCCAATATTATATTAGTGCAACAACAAAGTTTGTAACAGCCGAGTTCCTTTTTTAAAATATTTGTCACGTTTGTCTTTATTGGTATTGATAGTATAGGAAGAAATGCAACAAAGGTCTCCAGGTGAAATCAAACCGGGGACATGGTAGTCATACAATACACTCTAGAAGTACTATTTCTCTGACATATCTGCAATCCTGAAATAAAAGTTGTTCTGGTGACGATTTTGTAGAAAGAGTAGTGAAAAAACTGATTTGGATCAAATTCAAAATAGTAAAAAAATCAAATGCAAATCTAGATGCCAACAGGTGTGACTTATATAGATTATAGATTCACATGGACCCACAGAATGTATGAAAACAAGAACATAAAGTTAATTGTTACAGTGCCACCATCTGGCCAAATTGCACCAAATTTAATACGTCACACAGAATGTTATAGATAAAGACAAACAGACAGATAGAGATTCTTTGCTTTATAGTTTGATTTGTTAAATATGTAAAGATTTAGATTCAGTGTGAATGTGATCTGCAGTGACCTCTGCTCTCCTCTTCAGGGAGTTCCTGGCAGACCTGGAGCTCAGGGCAGAGAAGGACCCACAGGACAAAGGGTGAGTCATCTCATAATTATTACTGTTAATACAAACACTAATACCTCTGCTCATTGCTTTCACTACTACTCCAACATTGTTGAAACTGACCTCTGCTCACTGCTTCTTCTACTTGAACTACTACTCTTGAGTTTACTACTGCAGTGGTAGTTATGGTCTCAGTAGTAAAGGTCCACTGCTATGCTGATTAACCAACTACTTCCACTGGCTGTTGTACCACTACGAGTACCAGTTTTAGTTCTACAATTGCTACTACCACCAGTTCTACTAATTATAATGTTCAGTTAAGACATTTAACACCTTTTAGAAAATACTTTACTGACAACGAAATTATCATTGATAATATCAGAAGAACTTTAAAAATGAGATGAATATGTCGTCACATGAAGAAAAGAGCCTTGCGATGTATCACCATAACACACATATTGGTATGCATCTGCTTTCCTCTACAGGGACTGCCAGGCAAAGACGGCCCGCCGGGCAGACAGGGTCCTTCGGGAACTATCGTGAGTGATGATTAAAGTTTGACATTGTTTAGCGGTTGTGTAAGTGAGTTTGTTGAAGGAGACAAAGGAGAAATGTTATGTGGATTTCTGGCAGCTGAACTGGACAGTTTGCTGTCCCGCCTCTGGTTCTCCTTCCAGACACCCGAAGGTCGAGTTTCTTTACACAAAAGAGAAATTGCTGAGTGGACTTTTAACATCATACTGATGCAGCCGGACCAAGGTTCTATAAATCATATTAAAGCTGCATATTTCTTGCTTGTCAAGCTGCACCCAAAACAAGAAAATGAAAATAAAGTAACAGTTGAACTATTTTAAATCAGGACTGTTTCAAAGAGTTTCGATCCTACTTTGGCCTCTAATATAACAATATAATAATATAAGCCCCTCCAGCACTCAGTTTACATCCACTGCTGTGTGACAACAATGGTTGGAGTATATATGCATGCCCAAATGAAATGCTTTGGATTTTGGGACTGATTTGGACCCGACTGGACAGCTGCTGTGGAAAAAGACTGGAAACATATTTTTGGTTAAACAATGCAGTCAATTTACAGTAAACACCCTAATTAGGAAATAAATTAAAAAGTAAAGAATAGGTACGACTGAACTGAGAAATGTTAATCATAATGTTCATTTATATATATTCTTTTAAAAGGCCTAAATCTTGATTGCTAATTAAGCATCTCTAGCAACTTGTATATAAAGCAGCAATCATTCCACAACTGGATACTGTTTGTTGTCCATTGCTGTTTATACATATACCCATTTTCAAACCTATGGTGTACACTGTGTGTACATTGACAGCACCGGTTCCTCATTATGAACACACTTTGCCAATGAAGTCGACTGATTCTTGTTCGTCCTCCTCATATCTGTCTGTGTCTCTTCAGGGGACTCCAGGAGGCCCAGGGGCCCAAGGTAACACAGGTCCTCCAGGAAAACAGGGAGAACTGGGACCACCGGTGAGTGTAGACGATACAATAGAGCTTCCTTTCATTAACCTTTTTCCTACCCAGTCTGGGTTGACACCTGTCACCTGTCTGACAAAAGCTGCTGCATGAACGTCAACAATGTGTAAATACCCAGGAGGAGGCAGGAAGTCATGTCAGTCAGGCTTAACAGAGACAAACAGGATTAACTGCCTCCTGTCCGGTCTGAAGGTCCACAGGCCTGTCTGACACAAACACACTAATCTGGGGCAGAGAGCAGCGTATTCACGTTGACACCTGAGGAGACCTTGAACATTAAACTGCACCTAAAGAGCTCCGCCACCATCAGTGTGTTTGTCAGTTAAGATATACAAGTGCAGTCTATTTATCATACTGTAAGAGTGGGTTTAAGACTGTGGCCACTCTCTGCTTTGGCATTTATTCTTGATTAAATGAAATGTTCACAGTAAATCACATTTCGACTGCGCCGCCGGAGAAGAAATGAGATTCTGTGGGAGGTGATACAAACTGCTGACAAATTACTTTACATCGCCGTGGAAAAAATGTTGTCAAGCATGTAATTACAGATCCGTGGGCGGACTGCAAAGAGCCCTCCTTAACTAATTACCACGCTATTGTCAATTGCAGGCCTTAATGTGAACTTACTGGAGGAAAATACATATCCGTACTGTTTGCGCAAGGATTGTTGGTTTTTTAATAGCTCGAATGCAGCGTTAACGTGAGGTTGGTTCAGACAGAAGCTGAAACTTCTGATTCTTTTTGAACCATCTGCTGTGTTTTAAAAGCTTGGATTCTGTCTGATGAAGGCGAAACATTTGAATTTAGTGGCTTTAATGCAGTGTTGGACAAAAGTCTAAATCCAGCCTACAGTCAGCGCTCTCCATGTGTTCACTGCACGTTTGTCCTTTTCTTTACATTTAAAAAAAAAACACACGGTTACGGTTTGAAGGTTAATGTGGCTCTATTCAAGGAAGACGTGAAATTTATCTTGATTGATTGTGAGTCTGGTGAGTCTAACCTCTAACCCTCTCTATGTTTGTTTGTTTGTTTGTTTGTTGCTTTATTTATTTTTACATGACAGACACATAAAAGCTTTTCAAAACATCATCAAATATCAAACAGCGTGTCCAAAATAGATATTTCACAGTGATTCAGAACCGACGTAACAAGCAAACAATAAACATTCAAGCAAGCAACATTCAAAATGATTCAAAGTTAGTCAGAACAGCAGAAAGAAAAAAGGGAGAAACAAAGTATTCCAGATTAGTAAGAGGAAGGAAGTGAAGAGAGGACAGTCTTCTTGCATCTGTGCAGATGATCGAGCCGATGTCCTGATGGGAGAATAATTTCTTCATGTGTTTGTTTGATTGTTTGTTTTCCTACCATGGTCCATAAAATCTGTCTGCAGTGTCAAATCTTTCATATTTGAGTTGTTTTTTCTTCTTTTCATTGATTCTTCTCTGTTGCAGGGTCCTGCTGGAGGCAAAGGGGAGAAAGGTGAACGGGTGAGTGGCTCTGTCCATTATGTTCAGAAAAGAAGAAGGAAATAATAAATGAAGTTGCTCTTCTCTTTTACTCACCAGCATTTATTGTTAACAGAGCTGATCAATGTGAGCTGAAAAACTACAAATTTACATTTTCTGATCTTCACTACTCACAGAACAACAATTACAACATCCTCTTATAAAGGTTGGTTCAGATAAAAGGTGGTGAGAATGCAAAGAAAGTCAGTGAAAATACAAAAATGGTCATTTTTAAGGCTATGAGGTGTTATTTTGTTAATCCCCTATCATTTGTAAAATATTATAAATATTTATTTTCAGTCTCTATGGACCAAAACATCCTCATCAGATAAAAAACCTATAAATACTGTGATGTAACCAGTGTTTCCTCCTAATGATGATGATAACATTTTTGTGTCCGGTTTACTTCACGTTGCTCTTTGGGTATTTTTTGGGTATGTCCAAACTCGGCTCAGTCACACCTCTACGCGTCACTCAGAACAGAACCAATGTGATCTTCATTTATAAATGTATAGATAATCAATAGATTACTATGAGGACAGGTCAGGAGGACCCCTCCCTCAAATCCCCCCTTAATAATTTCTCCTGTGTCCTCCACAAACTATGATGAGAGTTATTAGATAGATAAATCTCTTGCTGGGTGGCTTATAACCACAGTCAAAGTGTTGAGACGATGCTGCTGTGGAGCAAGGTCATAGAGCTGTTAACGGTTAGTGAGAGTTGTTTTTATTTTCAGGAAGAATCCTGGAAACTCATCACGAGCACCCATTAGTCTGGGTTCACTAACTTAAACCACAGCAGATACCAAAAGAGAACAAGTACAATGAGTGTGATTAGGCAGTGAGAGGAAATGTTCAAGGGTTTTTCCTGCTGTGGGTGATTTGAAATTATTTGACAACAACAGCTAGGGGCTAAAGGCTCGTTGTTTTATTCTAAAATGACACAGCAACAGTTAACCCTGGTAATAACAGCTCCACTGGAGCCAGGATGAGTCACCTGTGGCTCAAATACCTGTGTGTGTGTTTGTGTGTGTGTGTGACAGGTGAGTTTGTGTACACATGTAATTTATTTTTTATGTAAATCTGCAGACATAATGCTGTTACATCATGAGTCTGAAACACACAAACAAAAAGACTATTTAAAAATGCCAGCCTGCAGAATTAAATGTGCTTGTGTGGTGGTGATGGACACTGTGGTCACAACATCAGCAGTCTGTAGGAAGAGTCACAGCTGGAGAAGTGTTGGACGTTGATGCAGCAGCTCAGGAACAAACACAGAACATAAAAAGAATGAGTTAATAAGTATATATTTAGTTAAAATTTAGACTAAAATTTGACTTTATGTTGCCATGGACATGTATAATTCCTTGATAACTACAAATATTTCTGCATGTGTGTCTCCAGGGCGACCTCCAGTCGACTTCCTCAGTTCAGGCCATCGCCAGGCAGGTCTGTGAGCAGCTGATTCAGAGTGAGTAAAAACACTTTGCCTCTGTCTCTCCGCCTCAGAGCGCTGTTTGAGGGTCAAGACCTGGTTCTAGTATCAAGGTTAAGTTAATCAGGCTCTGCTCAGTGTTCCTGGCTGAAGAATGCGTTGTAAAAGTAAAGTGTGAGTAAAAGTGAGTGTTTATCCTGACATTTAGGGAAGTTGGGGAATTTCAGTTTTTCTGAAAGGATCTACAGCGATTATACAAAAGTTAACTGATCGAGTTCTCCCCAGCCGATTGGTACCATACTGCCAGTTCCACACATCACCTCCATGATGGCTCCAACCATGTTGCTGTATAATTTATCCGGTCTGGCTCAGTCTTCCTTTTCCTGTTTTCAGGCCACATGGCACGCTACAACTCCATCCTGAACCACGTGCCCAGTCCGCCAGTGTCCATCCGTACTGTGCCGGGACCCCCAGGAGAGCCGGGCAGGCAGGGAACTCCAGGGGCCCAGGGAGAACAGGGACCCCCAGGAAGACCCGGCTTCCCAGGACAGAACGGACAAAACGGGCAACCAGGAGAAAGAGGTGAGTGTAACCAGGACTGTCAGGCTGATTCACACCGTAGCCGACGGATGGATGGAGTATCGCAGGCGGTTTCATGGAGGTTTCACAGGTTGCTACTGAGGGAGCAACCTCGTATGAGCGATGTACGCCTGCAGCAGCCAGAGCATCGACAGTTCCAACAACAGCACCAACTGTGTCTTACTGGAGACATTCATTCCTCAAAGAGTTCCAACATGAAGTGGAAAACAGATTGACAGCATTGTTTTTGTGTGTGTGTGTGTGTGTGTGTGTGTGTGTGTGTGTGTGTGTGTGTGTGTGTGTGTGTCCAGGTCAACTAGGAGAAAAGGGTGAGAAAGGATCTCAAGGTGTTGGAATCCAAGGCCCCAGAGGACCTCCAGGATCCCCCGGTAAATTAAACCACACCAAGCCGTACCATGCCATCCTACTGAAGTCCTCAATCTAGTCTTCTTGATATTTTTTCCTTCCTCCCTCCTCCCAGGTCCACAAGGGCAGGGCAGACCTGGCAGCCAGGGTCCCTCAGGGCGACCTGGAAATCCTGGAACTCCCGGTCGGCCCGGAGTCCCCGGACCCGTCGGCTCCGCTGGGCCTCCCGGCTACTGCGACCAGAACTCCTGTATGGGCTATAATGTTGGAGGTACGTAGGGTCCCTTAAAGGCAGCGGCAGGTTTAAACATTTAATAATAATATTCATTCTTTTGTTGTTAGTCATTTATCATTGAAGAATACAGAGGCAGGGACTCCTGACACCTCTTTGACTCACTGTATTACTGAATTAATCTTATCAACCATTCTACTAGACTTCACCACCTTTCACTGTGATCGCTGGGTAATTACAGCCACAGAGAGTGTGGAGGATGGAATAAAAGAAACACAACCTTCAACTAAGAAAGAAACATTTAACTTTTTTCTTATAAAAGATCAAAAATTACCCATTTAGTCTCTGTTTCCCTTTCTTGTATTGTATCTAATGACACACACCCTGCCTTAATAGTAGAAATGTCTTACTTAAAACCCATCAGGTTGTTTTAATGTGTGGACATTGTAAACTGTGTGACTGAGCATGAAAGCTTTTCAGTGCTGAGTGCGTCTTTTGGATTGAAGGTCATCAAGTGAAATGTTTAATTCATTCGGTTCCTTTTCATGTTGAAAAGCTGCCACTGAGTTAAACAGGCTGCATGTCATTGAAGTCACCCATCCCACGCTCCGTGTATTTGAAGGTGAAACATGAAACACCTTGAAATACAATCACTGTTAGGATACAGAATTCTGCTTTAGTACCAACAGTCTGGTTGTGTGAGAGACTCAAAGCAATGTGATTCTGAAACTTTGTACAGTTTCAAATATCATTTGATAATTTGAGCTTGTTTTTTGGAGGAACATCCAAACAACAAGGTGTTGTTAATAAGCCATCAGCTCAGCCTTTTTAACCTCAAAGGAAATAACCGCTTTAAAGGGTCACTTCACCCAAATCATTAAAAAGACAAAATGACATTAATTAGAGCAACATGTTAGGACTAGAGTCTGTAGACTAATAAAGATGGACAGAGACAGTTGAAATGGCAGGTAAGTTCCTGCGCGCAGCCTCCGATGAAACCACAACATGTCCTTTTTACACTTCATCTTTTGTACGGATTAAACAAATGAAATATAATGTGTTAATTAGGGAGCTTTAGAGGTGCTGGTTATCTTTGGACAGAGCCAGGCTAGCTCTTTGCCCCTGTTTCCAGTCATTATGCTAAGCTAAGCTAATTGGTTGCTGTAGCTCGGTAGCTTCGTATTTGCAGTACAGTCCTGAGAGTGGCCCCAAGTCACTTTTCATTTCCCTGGGTCTTTAAGTGTCTGATTTATGTAACTACTTCTTTTGAACTGAGGTAGCAGAAGTAAAATCTAAACCCCAACAAATAAAACTGAAACTACCTATGTGCCACAAACCCCCTGACAGTGAGTCATGATGAATTGGGTGAATTAGCCCTTTAAGCTTTGTCTTCCTGCGGTACCTGGTTGAAACTGCACGGCGTCCTGCACGCGTCAGCCAACAGTAAGAACCCGATCACCGACTGAATTCTGCATCCTAACATTTTACGACTGAGACTTTTCTGTTTAATCACTCAGTAGTGTGAGTGTGGGTTTAATCAGTCACTGGAAAGATGCTGCATGGAGGGTTTCCTTGTACATATATCACCATTAAGTTCAGCAGGAACAGAAAAAGTGCAACAAATTACTGCAAAATTCACATCAAGGTTGACGGTGATGAATCAGTGCTGCTGGCAGCTTTCGTGTCTGTTACGTGTTAATTTGATCTCCAGCGTCCAAACAACTCCAACTGTGTTTTCTCAGCCTTTTACAGGAAAACACACATGGGAAATTATATTTTAACAGTTTTATGGTTGGTGCAACAGCAGCACATGCATCCAGGGTGCTCTGTTAGTTCTCACCACATACACAACATACACACACGGCTTTCTAAACACTGAAAATATAATTAATTCTGTAACATACTCACTGAAAGAAAACTCCACATGAGGCATCTTTACCCGTTAAAGGCATGACTGGGTTAATCCTTGATGTGTGTTGAGGTTAAAGGTCACACGGTAGCCTAAAAGGTGCTGCGCAGCTCGCAGCCTGCATCATGTGAGTTACATCTGCATGTTGTAACCATTTCTCTGTCTTTGTGTTTCTCTCTCTCTTCCTCTGTCTGTCTGTCTGTCATTTTACAACTGTTCCTCTTCATAACCCTCAGCACAGTATTTCAGTGACAACTGAGCCGCGTTCACAGACTCTGACAATGACTACAGCCGCAGAGATTAGTAGCTTTAACTGCTGCAAAGGCTGCAGAATGTATGTGATGGATGTGGTGTCACTGCATCGGCTGATCAGCTTCAACCCTGGCTCTCTCTACCTGCACATAATGTAACACACAGCATCACATTATACAGTACTGCATCACATTATACAGTACAGCATCACATTATACAGTACAGCATCACATTATACAGTACAACATCACATTATACAGTACAGCATCACCTTATACAGTACAGCATTACATTATACAGTACAGCATCACCTTATACAGTACAACATCACATTATACAGTACAACATCACCTTATACAGTACAGCATCACCTTATACAGTACAGCATCACCTTATACAGTACAACATCACATTATACAGTACAACATCACATTATACAGTACAGCATCACCTTATACAGTACAGCATCAACTTATACAGTACAACATCACCTCATACAGGGCTTTACAGGGGAAAAAACACACAACAAATCATGCTAGTTTCTGTAGATTTACTTTTTAAGGTCTTTCTCAGTCCTTTAACATTCACACTGCCCCTCACTCAGCTACAGAGCTGATTTTCAGCTTCTTGTTTTTTTTAAATAACCAAACATTTTAAAGCATGAGGCTGGTGTTATTCTATATTTTCATTATTGTGAACAAATCCCATGAAAATGCCAAAACCAACAGTGTGTTTGTCCGTCTCTCAGTGCTTTCTGACTTCCTGTCTGTGGCTGTCAGCTCCAAGCCCACTGGCTCCAACTCACAAGTATATAGTGTCATCAGTAAAATATGTTCTGTTCAGTTTCCTGAAGCAGCTGCTCGCTGTAGTTCTTCAAACACACAGCCGGATAGTGCAAATAAACGACAGTGAAGCTCTACCACGCAGATACACACATAATGCTTCATAGATACATTCACTGTTGGTTGTTGTTAAGATTTGTTAAAAGATACATTCACTGTTGGTTGTTGTTAAGATTTGTTAAAAACAAGAGAATATCACCAGACTTATCCTTGAACAGGACTGAGCCCAGACATTGTACTACGAACTCTGACACCATCGTCCTCTCCTGACTTTTTCTTCTAGATTACGATCATCCGGTGCCTCTTTTTTAAACCACAGGTCCTAAAAGCTCATCTGCACGACAACTTTTGAATAGAAATTCCTATTGAATAGTAATTTGCACGTTGTTTTAACATTAAGTATGTAGATATCTTTAATTGGACAAAAAAACAAAAACTTTAAATACTTTAAATTACTTAAATTGTGACAATTTGAATGTGAATTAATAGATAACAGATCTAATATTTGCCTGGTAAAACTTATTACACTCATTTTAATTTGCAGTCGTTAATCCTAAATGTATCCTTTCCTCTAACTCTTGCTTTTAGCCCGTAACCTTGGTAACCCCGACTCAGTAACCCCTTGGTAACCCACGGCAACCCTTGGTAACTTTTGGTAACCTTTGGTAACCCTTGTCTCTCTGTGTCTCTTGCTCCTTCCTTCTCCTCCCGCCCCCTCTTCCTGTCTCACTAACCCAATCAAAACCCAACAAACCAATCCAAAACCTTGCTTCCTGTGGTGGCGGGGGTCTGCCATCTTTGTTTTGGGCTCTCACTGATTGTCTGCCTATCTGACTGGCGTGCTGGCTTGGCTCGCTGCCTGGTTGGTTGGCAACGCAGAGGGTGAGGATGTCACTGACGGCGGCGCTATCCCCGCAGTCCAACTGCCGCCCAACGTCTTCCAGAACTACGGCGAGGTCGAGGAGGACGATCCCTACCGCTACTACCAGCCCAACTACCCGGCCCCGCGGCCCGTCGCCCCTGACGACCCTGCGCTCGCCCAAGATGACTACGAGCTGAGGTCCCCCGGCGTCCACCGCAGCGCCCGGAGCCTGGACGGAGAGGAGGAGAGAGCCGGGCCGAAGAGGAGACTAAAGAGAGGAGCGAAGACGCTGTCTGAACTAATTAAATGAGAGGAGCTGATTGGAGGACGGAGGGCTGCTCGCTGTTTCTGATTGGGCGGTTTGGAGCCGTTACGAACTAATCAACAAGTGCCTGATGTAGAGGATTTCTTATGGACACCGTAGAGGGGACGGGGTGGGGGTATCAGGTTGGGACTATTTTAACTCATCTATGCTGTTGAATTAACTGCAAGAAAACAGGTTTTAGTTGATTTGTGTTTGTTCATTTCGTCTCCGTAGAGAAGATTGTTTCTCAATGGACTGAGCTTTACTGGGGTTTATATTTCACAGTTTGCTTTTTGTCCCAAGACGTCTCTCTGTTAACAGTTGAACTGTTTCTGTGATCAAATTCAAGTTTCTCAAACATCAGATTGGAGAAAAGTAGCCGGTTCTGTAATCAGGTTTCAGTTGTTCTGTGTGTTATTTACCTGGTTGGTTAAGTGCCTCCTAATTGTCTCTTTACATGTTTTATGTATTTGTGACGGAACGATAAAGAAATTACGATAACTTTAAGCGAAGAGATGCTTTGCACCAGATTTAGCTGCTAGCTACACGTCTGCGCTCCCTAAGCAGGTAAACACAAATTCTACAAGACAACAATAAATACTGATCCGATAGGCAGCAGCTACAATATTCTAACATTATCCTCTTATTGCCCAGTAAGTCACCCACTTTACCTCCAGTGCTAACAGGCCATGTTAGCCTCCCAGCCCAGCTGCCTACATAAAGCACAATATAAAATGATTTTAAACAAACAATGAAACAAAGATGATCGGAGGACAGGAAGCAAAGACTCCAACAGACTTTAAACCTGCGTCATCATTCAGATTTTAATGTTTCTATTATCTCTTCCCAGTTCAGAACTTTACAAACAAAGTTATTTATGTAAAGTTTTTGCATGTTTTTTTTTTCCATTAATCATGAGATGTATCATTTTGTTTAATTTCATAGAGCCATAGACGCGTTCTACTGTTACGTATAAAGATTAACGTTTGTTCTCGGTGAGTCGTATGCAGTTATTGTAACAGTATTAAGCTTAAACTGATGTTGCTCTGTATTTGAGAAGGTTGATTAAAGAATAACAGTTTATGTAAGACAGAGAGTTATTATATTTCTGAGTCAATGTATTTTTGGTTTAGTTGTCAGGTTTCTGGATCTTGTGATTGGTCGTGTTGTCGAGGGATTCGAGTTGTAGATTGAAAAGAGATTTTATTTTGAAGACTGACAGCTGTGTCCCACTCTGTGTTCTTTTTATTTGTTTAGTTTGGATTGATCTTCCTCCATTTGTAATATCGTTAAGCTAATTTAAGTCGAACTGGATGCCATCTGTTGCAGAGACTGATTTGATACCAGAAACACAGCAGCTCAGTCCATTTGAAGTTGAGTTTGAATTCATTTATACGTTCGATTTCTTACATTTGTTTCATTGCTGGAGATCAGTTCTATAAAGGGAAGTCCTGTCATTTGGAATAAGGGTGTGCCTCATTTATTCACCTGTGGATAAAATCTTTAAACTAATTTAGCCAAAATTCAAGCACACTTTGAACATTTCCAGATGTCTTGTAAACCTTTTGAGTTGAGTGTTTCTGAGGCCTTCAGGTCTGCGAGGAGTAAAAACAGGCCTCCCTCTACGCCTCTGACCGGGATATGTCTAAAAAATAAAATCAAGGAAGTAATTTATTTTTTACTTGGTATTGATTTTCTCAGAACAATAAAACTGAAGTACAACCTTCGTCGTTGTCTGTGTGGACTGTGTGCTGAATGTGTGGCTGTCCCTCAGCAGGTGATGTCACTGAACCCTGAGGTCTAATTAAACTGGGACCGAGCAGGAAGCTGAAGCCTTCACGTGAACGCTGATGCATGTTGCGAGCGGCAGGAAGCTGATTGGAAACCAGCAGGTGAGCTGCAGAGTTCAACATCACACCTCAACTGTCTGCTCCCATGGAACCGACGTTTAGACCCAGTACAGCCCAGTGTAAAGGCCCAGTGTGTGAGGATCCATCTATGAGGATCTGTTGTGCTTTCATTGGTGTATAATCACCTTCCATACTGAACCACCATGTTTCTACAGTAGCCCAGAACAGACAAACCAAACACTGGCTCCAGATAGGACCTCCCTTCTACCAAATCCCAGTTTTCTTCATGACTCAAGTTTCCAAAAGCCCTTCAGAAGTTTTCAGAAACAGTAAACTTACATCAAAATGTCTTTCAAAAAATCCTCTGCCTACCTCATCTGCGTACCTTACCGCCTTATTATCTACCTGATCACATACCACATGGTTACTCTTCCTGTCCCACCCCATTATCCTTACCTCTTCTCTCAGAGGCAGACAATACTGCTATCACATAATATCACTGGAACCAACCAGGGCATGCTAGCATATTGGGAAGGAGGCTAAATAACGCTCCAAAGTTAACCTCAAAATCAGGATATTTGAATAAAAATGGGTTCTATGGGTACCTACGAGTCTCCCAAAATAACATGCATGTGGTATAAATTATATAACTTATTTTCAACTTGTGTATTTGCATACTGGGGTCTATAAACTGTGTTGGAATTGCATAAACAGCCCTGCTTCCTACCCTCCCGTGTCTCTACAACAGCCCCCCCTCCTCCTCCAACAGTTCCAACACTCCCATAAAAAACCACATATGATACATAAGTCTGTCTTCAGATTGTCTTCTATATAACAATATTTCTTTAACAGGCGGTCAACCTCCCAGTGTTCAGTGTGTGTCGGTGTGTAACAATAGCCGGTTTCATTGGTTTGCACCAAATCAGTTTTGGGGACCCAGAACAAGCTTCGATCCATGAACATGTCCAATCTGTGTGTCTTTTATTTTGTCATATATTTAACAAACATTCAACATTTTAGCCTCTAACCCGAACCCCTGAAAGACACTGACCACATTTACAGAGATGATTAAACTTGTGTTGTAAATTCTATTTTAGAAATATAATTCTGACTCCACTTCTGTTCTTGTTTTATCTTTTTAATACGCAGCTTTCTTTTTCTACCATTTTGACCTTTAAACATTTTCCAACCCACAAAGTCTGATATCAATCTGCTTCTTCAGAGGAAGTTGTCGTGGTTGAAGGTGTGAAAACGTTTATGACAATAAGATGTCATTAAACACCTTTTAATAGAGTAACACAGAGTAACACGAGACGGGCTTTTATTAATGTTTGTAATTCATGTATAAAAGAGAGAGACACACACACACACACACAGAGAGAGAACAGGAAGTGGTGCAGTGCCTCCTCTGCTGGTTGAGGAGCCTCTCGGGTTAAAACAAGCTGACGGAGGTGAGAGAGGGATTCTTTGAGGTTTACAGAGGGTGGACGTGGGCGGGGAAATCAATTAGCTCCTGCGTCACCACGGAAACGTCCCTGCGTCTGAGCTTCTGAGTCCACTGACGCGTTTACGTCTGTTCTGTAGCTGCATCGCTGACTCCACATCAATCAATGTTTCCTTCACAACTGGACTTTTATTTTCTCGACCATCAATCACATTACTTACCCCAGTAACTAGTAATTATACCCCACTAATCACTTATTACCCCACTACTGTATGTCGTAGGTGTCGCTCAGGGATTCAGAGACTGGATCCAAGAAGACTTCCAGCCCAAAGCATCAGGCTCAAAGTACCTGGAGTCCATTTACAGTCTGTTACAGGTGGATCTGGCTTACCTGTAACAGCTGTCAGTTACTTCCTGTCTTTGTGTGTTTCCCGCCTGTGCCTCACTGTCCTCCTCTCACTAGAGTATGTAGTCTTTGTGCTGGCTCAGTGGCAGTGTGTCTGTGGACTGCGTTTGATGTCTCATCGTCCCCATGAGCCCGCTGTTGTTGGACGTTGTTACATTATCGTACTACACCAGCTCTGCCTCACGTTGTCTTTCATTTGGATCCAGTTCTTCGTGTTCTCGGTAACTCTGTTTGAATGTTTGTGACAGTGACCTCCAAAAGTCTCCGAATGTTGCTCCTGCTGGGCTTTTAATAAACTTTATTATTATTCATACAGAGCTTCTCTGGTCCAACAGCTCAAACCTCTTTACAGCACACCACATTCACCTCCACACACACACACACACACACACACACTCACTCTTACACAGACACACACACACGCACACACACACTCACTCACTCTTACACAGACACACACACACACACACACACACACACTCACTCTTACACAGACACACACACACGCACACACACACTCACACACACACACACACATTCACATTCACAGTCACATTCACATTCACCCACTCACTCTTACACAGACACACACACGCACACACACTCATTCACTCTTACACACACACACACACTCACTCTTACACAGACACACACACACACTCACTCTTACACAGACACACACACACACACACACACTCACTCACTCTTACACAGACACACACACACACACACACACTCACTCACTGACTCTTACACAGACTCACACACTCACTCACTCTTACACAGACACACACTCACTCACTCACTCACTCTTACACAGACACACACACACACACACACACACACTGACGGAACAGCCATCAGGAGCACTGAGAACACTTCGACTGGGGGACCAGGAATCGAACCAGCGAACCTACGACTACTAGACGACCTGCTCCACCACCTGAGCCACAATAAATCTACAGTCTCATCAGTGAGCCTGTGAATCCTTCAGTTTCTGGATGCAATGAAAAAGTATTAGAATTTAAAAAGTTGTATCTTGTACAATCTGAATCCCTCAGACCAACATACTCTAAATTTCACTTTAAGTTCAGTCTGAACAACGTCAGGTAAAACAGCTTCATCCATCCTTTATCCAGTACCTTTAAAATGGTGCAGCAGACATCCAGAATATTTCCACTTGATGTGAAAGTGCAGCTTAAAAAACTCAGAGATTACTTGAGAGGAAACTGGAGAGAGTTTAAGGTTGAAGAGGTTAAAAGCAAATGAGGGAGGAAGAAGATCTAATTAGAGGAAGAAGACCAAAGCTTCTCTCCTCTTCTGTCTGCGCCGACAAATGAAGGACCAATAAATGATTATTAATTCATTTGTCCTCTGAGGACACGTTTAATAGTTAAAGGAGGATTCCTCTTCGGTTTAATTCCCCCTCTCTGCTGAAACAGAAGTCCTCCCTGCAGCTTCTTCACCGTCTTCTTATTTGACGTGTGTGATGTCTGTGGAGCCGGAAAACTGAACACGACTGGTGATCGGTGTTAAAATGTTTAAGGCTGCAGCAGGAGTCTGGACAGCAGCTCCGTTCGTGTTCAGACTCGTTATAGACGATAAACTGAGAGACTGCATCGTAAATTACAGATGGCTGTATCAGCACAAACACTCTCAGTCACATTCAGGTGATTTCTTTGGTATTTCTTTTGCAATAAATGACTATCACTAGTTGTTTGGTGACATATGGCTCAGCGCAGTGGTGTAGTGCACTTATTTTTCAGTCAGCATTGGATATACCCACTTCTAAACCCCAACTTTTTTCAGTCTAGGGTGGCAAAGGCATTACATAGTTGGAATAAGGATGTATAATGTTATGTAGCTGTCTCACCATATATCCCAGTATTGATGCTGAATCTGCACTTCTTCTGTGGCTGATGTTAATTTAATGATCCTCTCTCCCTGACGAAGTTAAGTGACTGTGCAAATACTACTGGCCAATTTTGAGCTAATTATGCGAGAGTAATCTTACGTGTCACTGTTGATAACGGTCGTTTAGATGAAGCCCTCTTCTCCAGGTACTACTACACCACCGGCTCTCTCGGGGTCTGCTGTGATTGGTGAAAAGTAACTGCAGCGGTTTGCACAGAATTGAATTTGCGTTTACTTCCTGGAGGAACTGCTCATTACCTGTTGTACTATCTCTTGATTCACTCTCACAGACAGTCAGAAAGATCTCCTCCTCCTCACTTCTTTGTCTCAGCTTCACCTTCTTTTTTCCTTCAAAGCAAAAATGACTCTTAGATTTGATTTCTTTTGATTTGTCTCATCAAAAACACACTTAATAAAAATTAAAAAACGCTTGTAAACACCAGTTCAAATAAACAAAGACAAAAAGATTTTGAAGATGTGAGTCACGGTTTAGTCCGCGCTGACTTCTGTTGACTGTGTGAAGAGTTTTGAACAGTGTGACTGATAGAAAATGATGTAAAAAGGCACAGGATGCGTCGATCCATCGATAAAGAGCTGCTGCACACAGGCCTGGAGGTGAGGATGTTTCCAGGAAATACACAGAGCCCACTCCTCTCTCTCCCTGACATCGGCAGCAGCCAGGAGAGACAGACATTAATCAGCAAACCTCCGCAGATGTTACACTCAGACATTAAAATACAACTGACTGCAGCTTTACTCGCAGATAGCAGCTGTTCGTTTACGGGAGAATATCTGCCGCTGTAGTGGTTTGTAGGGAGGACACTCGTGAGACACATCCTGTCATCATCGTAAGAGCTCAGAGTGGTTAAATACAGTAATTACAGCTCTTTAGTTCTGATGAGGTTGATTATAATTACCTCTACAGTGAAATTACAATGTGGGCTGAAGATGTTGGTTTTCTTTGTTTGGATTTGATGAGTTTTATTGGAACAAATCAGAATATAATGAACATGATCTATATTTTACTCTTCCTCTCGTCTCTATTTTCTGTCTTTATCTCTCTCGCTCTGAAGACTTTATCAAAACATTCACTTCTGTTCAGATGTTCCCCA